TGAGAGGTTTTGTACCCTATTCACTACAACCTGAGATGGACGATGCAATCTAATCTTGATTCAAATTCTCTGAAGACCCAATTACACTCCTGTTGGATAAATAAATACATTATTATTCACAATAATGAGATATGTAGTAGTTCACAGTACTCAGTGGAGTAAAAGAAGGGAGGGGGTTATATGGTGTAATTGCTGACTCATTCAGATACATATTCACAGTGTGCCTCTATATTTACAAATCCAGTACATTCCTATCCCATCGTAGCAGGCACAGTAAAAATAGCAATGACATATACAGGAGGATGGGCCAGGACATGGAGAGGCAGTAGACCCACAAACTACACTCCAGCCATAACAGCCATAAGAGGGAGGATGAGCACAACTTAACCCCAGACATCCAAACATTAGGCTCATCAAGGAAAACAAAAGAGACCTGAGCTCCCAGAGAAGCAACAAAAATTCAAGTTTGGGTGGTCCCAAATAATCACTAACCCTAACTGTGTTACATCAGTTCTAATCATAAACTACATATGTATTAAAACTAAAAACCAAAGTTTGACATCTCTCATCTTTTTCTGTCCTTCACTCCTCCTCCTAGGACAGTGGAGTCGCTATTTTAATACTGACTGTTAACAGGATTATTTATAAGTTAATGTCATAATTATGTGTGTTAATGCTTCTTAAACATGTTAACTGTGGGGATGACTGTAGCTCAGTGGGTAGAGCAGTCGTCTCTCGGTCAGAGGTTCAAATCTCGATGCCTGCAGTCCACGTGTTAAAGTGTCCTTGGGCAAGACACTGAACTCCCAAGTTGCCCCTGATATTTAGAGCCATTTTGTCGCGGCAGATGGCTGCCTCGGTTCTGTACCAGAAACAAATTCCTTGTGTGTGTAACATACTTGGCCAAATAAAGGTGATTATCCTATTAACACAGTTATTTTATTTGTTAATCCCATGGGCGAAGCCAGGGGGTGGCCAGTGCCAGAATCTGATTGGCCACCCCTGTCAGAGTCAAAATGTGATGCTTGTCAGTATCAATGAATGAATGCAGCAGCGATGTCCCCAGCCGGGAGTAAATAAGGAGCTCAGCCAAAGTTAGCTAAAAAAAGAACCGTGTGTGTCTCATTTTAACACAAAATTATCTGATTCTTAGTAATGTATATTTTATTTTTTCACAGAACTAGGAGTTTAATTTAATTTTTTACATGTATTTCAAATGTACCACCCCTCTCTGAGTCTGTGCCCCAGCCTGGCCACCCCATCTTTTCTATATCCTCCTCTGTTTAATGCACACGCTTGCTGAGCCTAATGGCTCGCTTTGTTAACATGTCCCCCGGGAAATACTTTCTGCTAAAGTTAGAACTTTAACTTTGTTGCTAATTTAGTTGTTACTATTCAAACCTTCATTAACAGACTTTCTGATCACGTAGGATCAGCCTGCAAACAGCACTGACATATTAGCACCTGAAGTTGAGGCTGACTTGTTTAGGCTCCCTTTTGGTCTCCATCAGCTCCTGAGGGGAATATCTGACTCTGGCTGATCTTCACTAGCTTGTCATTTTAATACTGACTCCAGAAACTACAGTTAACCAAACAGTAGGTCAGCTGTATGTGATTCACACACCCCCAAGATCTGCAGTGCAGTGTTTGCGATCACCAACCTCTCTATGATCAGGGCAGCTGTCCCATGAAGACGAGGCCCCTCGGGACACGCTTCACAACAACACAGGCTAAGCAAGACATGAGGAAATCAGCGCTACAGCAGCAGTGAAGGAAAGAGGAGGGGGTGGTTATGATGGGGGGTGGACAATGTAAGCAAAGGCTGGCGCTTGGAAAACGAGGGGCAAGCAGACACAGGTTGAACCTGCTGCACGTCAAAGCCCTGGCCTGTGTTTCCCACAGATACACACCTCTCAGCAGGGGCCCAGGTCATTGCTACCAGTTAGCAGAACAAAGGCATCACCTTGTACCAGCTTTCACTGTAAATGGCTGATAAAAGTACAAAACAAATGTCTGGATTTGGTTCACAGGTGGCCTGAATGCTTCCTTGTATTTCTGAAGCTTGGCCCTGCCCTTCAGCATGTATCTATGGCCACCCTAGTGCAACGATCGTGTGTTGTGCTTAAGATCACACATGATCAGAACACTAAGCTGGTTTGGGGAAACTGAGTGGTCAAAAAGGTCAGGCACATTTTTGAACATCTCCTTGTCACAACCCTTCAAGTTTTGCTACGATATATCTGGCAGCACCAAAATGAGCCTCCGTGGTCAATCTCTGTTTTTTGTTTTTTTTTTGTAATGGAAGGCATATTTTATATCAAGAGAAATAACAGATAGAAAAAGAGATATGTCTGTGAAAAGGCGCCATGGTATAATATGATGAAATAAAAGAGTCTGTCCTTTTGCCTTGTCCTTCCAAAAACCAGAACATAACCAGCACTGAAGATAGAAGAAAGCGATGGAATGTTAGCTGCAGACCCCTGCACAGGGCTGCAGAACTCTCGTGTTGTCTCAGGAGGAGAGGCTGAAGAGGAAGTGCTGTTTCAACAAGATAAGGACATCAGCGAGAGCTGAGCTGACAAGCTCATTTTTTGGAGCACAAAGGTTGTTTTCCTTGTTTCAAATGTTATCTGATTGTTTGTGTGTGTGGGCGGGGGTCCTGGGGGCTTTGGTGATTTAAACGACTTGTCAGAAGCTCTCGGGCTCCTCCAGGAGGCAGGGTTGGGTGGACAGAGGCACAAGGGAAGGGGACAGGCTTCGCAGGCCCATCCCAGGGCGGAAGCTGAGCTCTTGGGCAGGGAGTAAGGGTTTGAGGATGCTGACGAGGCAGAAGGCAGAGCCGCTGTTGGGGATGAAGTTGACCTTGTTGCGGTCAGGACACAGGAAGGGAGGGATCTCCTGAAGTGGTTTGGGCCTGGGAACACACAGAGTTTAGTACATGTAGCATGGCTTTAAGCCAATTATTTCATTTCCCGTTATTGTGGAAAGTTGAATGACATGCACATATTTACTAGTGCACTTCCTTAACACTGGGAGACTCCCACTCCGTACTTATGTCTATGCACTACATATGAAGCTGCAGTCAGGAGATGGTTAGCGTAGCTTAGCACAGAGTCTCTGTGCTTAGTGGTATCAATCTTCTCATCTATCACATGGCAAGAAAACAATTCAGTGTATTATGTCTATCAAGCTTTAGAAAACTCCCCAGAGCAACAGATGATGTTATATCAGTCGATTTCCTATCAAATCTAAAAGACTGCAAGTTTAATCTTTGCACTCACATGGACTCCTCGAACACTTTGACCCTCTCGCAGCCCTCTGGAGGTTCTCTCTTGAACCAGTAGCTGTTGTTAGGCCTGGGAGAGGCAGCATATTTAGGTAGCGGGGAACAGGGGCCCAGCTCTGTAGACAGGTAAGGGCGGGGGGTGGTCAGTGACACCTCACGTGCAAAGTTACAGTCAAGGAAAAAATTATTTGAACCCCAGCTGATTTTGTAAGTTTGCCCACTGACAAAGAAATGATCAGTCTACAATTTTAATGGTAGGTTTATGTGAACAGTGAGAGACACAACAATAACAAAAAAATCCAGAAAAATGCATTACAAAAAAAGTTATAAAGTAATTTGCATTGTCACGAATGAAATAAGTATTTGATCCCTTTGCAAAATGTGCTTTAGTACTTGGTGGCAAAACCTTTGTTGGCAATCACAGAGGTCAGATGTTTCTTGTAGTTGGCCACAAGGTTTGCACACATCTCAGGGGGGATTTTGACCCACTCCTCTTTGCAGATCCTCTCCAAGTCATTAATGTGTCGGGGCTGATGTTTGGCAACTCGAACCTTCAGCTCCCTCCACAGATTTTCTATGGGATTAAGGTCTGGAGACTGACTAGGCCACTCCATGACCTTAATATGCTTCTTCTTGAGCCAATCCACTGTTGCCTTGGCCATGTGTTTTGGATCATTGTCATGCTGGAATACCCAACCATGACCCATTTTCAATGCCCTGACTGAGGGAAGGAGGTTCTCACCCAAGATTTGACGGTGCATGGCCCCATCCATCCTCCCTTTGATGCGGTGCAATTGTCCTGTCCCCTTGGCAGAAAAACACCCCCAAAGCATAATGTTTCCACCTCC